GAGGTGTGCAGATCAGAGAATATGTGTGTACGTGTGAGTATGTGTATGTGTATCTGTCTCGTTTCTCCGTTAGGATTTTCAACGAGGTCCCCGAAGAAAAAGAAATTTGGGGCTGGAGATGCAGGGCAAGGGTAAAATGGTGAAAGCAAAACTTGGGAAATTAGTAGGAAGAAGGTGGCAAGAAAAAAGAAATGGGTTTGAAATGACCGACGAAGCGCATGGCGCGTGACATGCACGTACGCCGAAAGGTAGAGTCGGCCCAAAGCCACGGGCCAGTAGTTCAGCCCTGTGGCTGTTAGCATCTTTGCATTGGATTGGTTTTGGAATGGGGATAATAAAAAACGATTCTATTTTTAGATGCTTTAATTACTCTGGGATTATTTGTGGGATTTTTTTTATCCTTCATTTATCGAGATATCTAACTTTTAAATTTTAAATTTGGGATTAGAATCTTCTGTTTTTTTCTTTTAAATCCATTTATGACGTTATATTTTTATTATTTTTAAATATTTTACAAATTGTCATATTTATAAAAATTCTAAATATATATAATTGATACTATAATTTTGATAATTTATGTGATGGGGGTATTTTTAAAATGTCAAGACACATCATCAATCATAAAACTATTAATCTATCATTTAGTGTAACATTTTCATAATGCATATTAATATTATAGAGTCTTATTCAAATATCGATACACAATTTTAAGTTGATAATGTAATGATGATAATGTGATGATTTGAATGATACAAATATAGAATTGCAATTAAAAATAATATTTTATCTTTATAAAAATTAATTTATCAAAAAAAAAGTTATATTTTTATTAAAAATATATATATTTAATAAGATAATTTTTTTTATAAAATCAAAGTAAATTTTAAATTATACAACGAGTATAGTAGGTGTTTTGGTATAAAATGTCTTGGATGATCGACGTATAGAATTTGAAGCACTATTTAAAGTACTAAAAAATATTGAATATCTATGTTAGGATTTTTAGTCTAGGATATACCGATATACAATATCATTGTGGGAATGTTGTTCTAGATTTTCTGAAGGTAGTATTTCTACTGTGTTGCGGGTTTAGGTTTATAAGTTAATTTTATTAAGTATATTTTTAATAGACAATAAATGAGTTTAAAATTTTCAGTAGCACTATCTTAAGAATAATTTTTTGAATGGGAATTTTTTTTTAAATTTTCAAGTATTCATTTCATTGATAATTTTATTTAAATTTTTATTTGTAATTTTATAACTTTTAATAATTTTAAAAAAAATGTTGAAAAGTGTGTTATTGATATTCTTATAATTTTAATTCGCTTGTCGCGAGATTGAGTATATATAATACTATAAAGGAGATAAATTTATCAATAAATGTGGTTGAAAAATGTGTTTGGATCTTCATGTAATTGTTGAAAGATGTTAATCTCTTAATCGAATGTTAGTATTTTAATGGATTAATTCTTAACTTTTAGACGAAGAATACCCAGAAAATAAAAATCAATAAAAATAAGCCTAAAATTAATTTTTTTTTTAAATAACTAAAAGGAAAGAGAAGAATTACAAAGAATTCCGAGTCTTAAATCCTAATTCCTTTCTTGGCTAAAGAAGTCCCCGCAAAGCTAACAATAACAAAGGGATAGAGTATTGAAGGAGAAAAGAATCCGAGAATGGGAGAAAATATTCTGTTAAATTTTAATGTCAAAATTTCAATCTATCACTCAACTATTTTACGGATAAGCACCAAGCACGTCACTTTAGTTTGAATTTATTTATTTAATTTAAATGGATGTATAATTATAATATATATATATATATATATATTATACGTTGATTTTGATATATATAATTTAAATTTTATATATTAATCATGAGTTATTAAGTAAAATAATTTTATCAAAAATTACTCTTTGAATATGTTTGGTACATAAAAAATTCATTTTCTCAAAATTCTGATATCGAAAATGTTGGTTTCTCGCATTGAGTTTGTTATTTGAAAAATAATATTTCTAAACAATATTGTTTCCCAAAATTTTTATAAAATTATTCTCATGGACGGTAAGAAACTAATTTTCTCGATGTAAGAATAATTAATACAGTAAAAAATGTCATGTTATCTTTATTTATTTATTTAATGCAATAAAAATTATCATATAACATTTAAAAACATTTATGACTAACATACCAAATTTCATAATTCAAAGGAATCATCATTCCCAAATTTTATAATTCTAAAAATCATTATTCACGTGATGAAAAAAATTATAACACTGTAAAATTTCATTAATTATTGTGTTTTTATTAATAATTATGTGTTGTGATGTTCTTATATGTGGTGCTCAAAACTCTAGGAGTTAAAAGAACTCCTAAGGAGTCTTTAAGTATTTTAGATAATTTCTTTAGGTAAAGATTTAGTTTAGTCTTGAAGGGAGAAAGTATATATAAGTTTTTTTTTTACGAATTGAGCCTCAAAAGTTCAATTCTTAAGAATCTTAAAAAGATAAGTTAAAGAGAAATACTTTGGAGTCCATGAGCTTCTATTCTTTAGACCTTCTATTGAAAGGGTGATTCTTTTATTAAAATTCTAATTTAGTTGCGTTTGTTGATTCAAGTAAGTAGAACCGTGAATCAAGATTGTTGAGTCGTGCGGGGTTTTCTAAAGAAGCTCGAAACCATTTCTTTCTCTTTTTTTCCTCTTAGATTTTAATGTAAGGGAAACTAGAATATATATTAAAAAAAACAAATTTTAAAATATTTAACTTTATTTGAATATACAAAAAAAATCTATTTTTTTAATAAATCAGTCTTAAACAGAGAAGCTAACATCGAGAGTGCCATTAGTCTGCATCTGAAAGACTGAAACCAATCAGAGCCATTAGTGGGGCCAAGGTAGACCTTGGAGGAGAAATGGTTCAAGAAGAATTGGACGTGCTGAATTCTGGTAACAGAGAAGCTAACAAGAACGAAGAAAGCCCTCTCCCACCAATTTGGCAAGAAGGAGATTAAGAGAGGGTACCAAATCCAGAACAAGAGTAGGCCAATAAGCTCTACTCCTATGTAGTCGACCTTACGGTTGGAGAGCAAGAGGAAGAAGGATTGAGCGAAAAGGTTGGAGAATACATTCTTGTGGGCCTTTACAAATACATTTTGATTGGTCCCCAGCCCGTCTCACGGACCTTTAATACCATTTGTGAAATTTGGACAGAAATTCCCTATTGAAGTATTTTAAAATAAATTAGGACTAAATTGAAACTAAAAAGTAAAGTGATACCAAATTATTTTTTTTTAATATTACAAGAGAGCAAATTAGGGTTTTAGCCTATATAGATTTTATTGTTTCAAACAATAAACTTATTTTACAATTTTTTTTCTAGTAAAAACTGCTAAAAATTGCGGGGGGAAATCTTTCTGAAAAATAGCTTATCTCGTGATATCACAACTCACAAAAGCAAAGATCATGGAATGCACATGATCCACTTCCGTTGGGCTGATCAGGAACAGTTCCCAACCCAAAAAGTTTTGGACAATCAATAGTACGACGAAATTCAATCGTAAAATTACTCCTACTTTTTTTTGAATATGAGGGAAAAAGAAAGTACACGAGTAAATTTCAATTAATTTCATTTTATTTTATGTTAAAAATATCATTTATTTGATTAAAATTTTATTTCTAATATCTATTCTATTTGAAGATTTAGTAAAAAAAATAGTTTTAAAAAATATAATTTAAATAAATAACAAATTAGTCTCTGTTCCTGTGTTAGGATACACACTTCACTTATCCTTGTTGTAGCGAGTCTGATCCTGGGTCTCGATCTTCTCGTTCCTATCCGGGTAGTCCGATGTGAGGGGGGTGTGCCTGCAAAGACACTCCAACGCTCAAGTAAGTGCTCGGCGTAATAAATGTGGTAGTTGAAAGTTAGTTACGTACCTCGCTAGGGTCCTATTTATAGTGATCCTTATTGGGCCGCGATTAAGGACTGGGCCCCGGGAAATTAGGGGGCTAATCCGGTGCATTACATAAATTAACCTCTCCATAATTATCCTAGCGTAAATCTGTGACTTAGCCGAGCACACCGACACGTTCCGTTCAGATTGTGAGTGGTTGGTGGGCTCGGGTATTCAACCTGGTCGTGCACGAACTCGGGTATTCAGCCTAGTCAGCCACGAACTCGGGTATTCGGCCTAGTCGGTCATGAACTCGGGTATTCGGCCTAGTCGGCCACGAACTCGGGTATTCGGCCTAGTCAGCCACCATACGGTATAGTCTCTTTTTAATTTTTAATCCGTAATTTTTGTTTCTCTAATTCTAATTATGCAAATTTTGTTTTAAAATTTTAAAATTTTTGTAATATTGACCTAACTGTTAATCTTGCATAACTATAAGACATCAATACATAAACTTTAAGCGACTATTATGCCAAATGCATATAATAGCATAACACTATAAAATACCATTGAATTCACACTTCCGGTATAAACATTTTTTATAAACTTAAATAGTCAATGCATATAGATTTGACAATTAAAATAAATTTACAGATTTTTTTTAATTAGATATCAGAATTGTGTAATAAAAAATATAAAGATGGCCAAAATACGATTTATTCTAAATAAATCGAAGAAATAACTAATGTATAATTTATGTTGTTTCCTTGCGTGAGGCTTAAAATTGGGCCAAAATATATATATGATGCATGTCTTAGTACGACTCTACAGCAGTATTGGGGTGGGTTAGACTTAACAATATACATAAGTTGGAAAACATAGTTTTTAAAAAGTTAATAAGAGAGAAATTTTATAAATTATATATAAATTAATTTTAATTTTAAAAAACATTTAATTTTTTTTCTTCTAAAAGTGTTTTGAGAAAAAATTATCGAAGTGATTTTATTTTCTTGCATTAGGTTTTGTTAATCTTTGGTTTCTAATTTTTGTTTCACTCAGTTTTTATTTTCCAGAAACAACGTGAATGAAACATAAGAAAACTCGAGTCCAAGAAAATCGAATCCCAATCTTTCATAGTTTCATTAGCAATTTGCACTGCTGCATAAACCACGTTTATAACAATTACAAGACACACTACACTAGTTCTTTTTGTCTCAAGGTTCACCAACCCCCAATTCACCAGCGAGAAATTCTCACAACACAGTGACGGACATTGACATGCATCAAAGTCTTGCTACCACTAGGGCTCTTCCACAATAACTTGCCATACAACAAACACAGATAAGCAGTTGAAGGAACTTATTCGCCCCTGCTTCCGTTTTTATTTTACAAAACAAATATAAAAAAGAAAAAGACAAAGACAAAGACAGATTTTTATTTTTTATTATTTTTTCAGTTTCAACAACAATTAATTGATTAAGTAACATCAATTTCTACCTCCCTGTCTCAATATCAAGGTGAATGTGCTTGAGCAGCACCGGAATAACGGTATCCGGCGAGCTCAACTGCGGTAAGTGACCGTCGGTAGCCATGACCTCGACGATGGAGTCAGCACCAAGGTGTTGGTGAAGGTACTCCGAAATCATCACGGGAACCGCCATGTCTTTCTCCGCTTGTATGATGTGGCAGGGGACAGTGACGAGGCTCAGAATCTGCCTCATATCGCTTTGGAAAATGGTCTGCGACACGATTAGCGCTATGTCCGGTCTCATGTTGAACAACGTTCGACTAAATTCCTGCACCGCCACAGAATCCATGTCCCCTCCCACCGCCAATGGAGCAAACCCATGGCACCACGCTTTGTAATTCGACGCCATCGCATCGAACAATTGGTTCAGATCTTCCTGCTCAAATCCTCCGTAGTAATCCACGTCGTTCAAATACCTTCCCCAAAACAAACCAAACCAATTACAGGTCAATTTTTACTTAATAATCACCCAACTCTTTTACTATACTGCAGTATTTTCAAAATCCCTTATTTTAAAATAAATAATATTTTCTAATAAAAAAACATATTCTTAAAAGAAGTGTACAAATTGAGATTTGTTTCCCTCACGTTATTATTATTAGTCATGCCGAATACCATACACTCTCACATTATCTTAACAAAATGGATAAAACTGACTCGATCTTAATTTTTATTAACTTATGATATTTTTTACATAAATTGGTGTCTAAATTAGTTAATTACCTGGGAGAAGCGCCGACCATAACGAGTTTTGAGAAGAGATCGGGGCGAGAAATAGAGGCAATAACACCTATCATTGCGGAAACAGAGTGACCAACAAAAATGCAAGATTCAACGTAAAGCTCTTCTAGAATAGCGAGCAAATCAGAGGCGTAGCCTTCTAAGCTTGAGTGGCGCTCAAAATCGAAGTAGTCAGGGTTGGTTGTACCCGCACCCATGTTGTCGTAGAGAATGACACGGTAATCGTCGAGGAGATAAGGTACAAAGTGTTTCCACAGAGACTGGTCCGTGCCGAATCCGTGAGCCAGAACTATACACTCTGTGCCTGATCCCAAAATCTTCACGTTATGAGCTTCCGCTGCTATCCCCATTTTCCCACTCAGTGCGAAAATGCTGTTTCTCTATGTCCGTTCTCACTTTTGGTTAATTACCGACCAGTGTGTGAAAGGCTGACTTTCAGGCTCACAGGTCCAGCCCTTATATTTGGACTTCTATACAGCCACGGGGAACAAGTAGCACCACACCTACAAAAACAAAACTCTGCCGATAATAGAAATATCCCAATTTCATTGGTCACCAAAAAGAGGATTCTCGATTCTTTCTTGTTCCGCTAGGCAGCAAATCAAGAGGAGAGGGTAAAATTACTAACTTTACATTTGCTTCTGATTTCGTTTTACTTGAAAAATATTAGGATTAAGTATATTTTTAGTCCCTTAAATTTAAGATAAATTTGTTTTTATTTTTTAAATTTAAAATTATTATTTTTAGTTCTTGTAATTTTCAAAAATCTTATTTTAGTCTCTTAGGTCACTAATAACATATTTAAAAGTGACTAATTAATACAGTTATGTCATATCAACCAGATTTAATGTGATATTTTCACTGATAGAGATACTAATAGGTAGATTCTATATAATAATGTTTGATAAATTTTTTAATAAAATTTGAATATAAGAACTAAAATAATATTTTTTGAAATTACAGGATTAAAAATAATAATTTTAAATTTGAGGGACCAAAAATAAATTTATTCTAAATTTGAGGAACTAAAATCATATTTAAACCAAAATATTATCATCGTAAAATATTCATTGATTCTTGTAGATGACTCTATATATTCTTTTAACTATGTTTTTTTAGCCATATCAATAAACAAAGACTTATTGATTTATAAAAAAAAAAATATATATATATATATATATAATATATAGGTTAATACACTTAATATTTAAAAATATAAAATATACTCTCAAGTCTTGAATATAAGATAAAAAAAATCCATTCATGTTAATTAACAAATTTTATTTCACTAAATTTATTTAAAAAATAATTATTTTTTTAAAAAATTATCTTTTATTAGAAATTTATATGAATCTATACATATTATAAAGGAGATATATTTTAATAATTAATTTTTGGTCTTCACTTTTTAGTGGACGATTATACCCTCGAAATGTAAAAAGAAAATTTTTCTTATATTTTTTTCTGAATAATTATCCATAATTTTTAATATTTTGTCTGTGAGTATATTAGAGGCACGAAGTGCCTTGAATCCTCTAGTAATAATAATAATAATAATAAAAGTTCATTCTGTAACAGCCCAATTTTCACTAGGCCTTGGGCCCAATTCATTGCCCGGAACGGGCCGTTTCAAAAGTGAAACGGGCCGTTCCGGAATAAAGAATTTGCCTAAAAACGTAGTTGAGAACGGGCCGTTCCGGTTGGAGAACGAGCCGTTCTGGTTTAGAGAACGGGCCGTTCTGAAACTGGAACGGGCCGTTCTGAAACTGGAACGGGCCATTTTGCTGGGATTGAGAACGGACCGTTCTGGTTTTAGAACGGGCCGTTCCAGTTGAGAAATTTATGTAGGTTTGAAAGGCCCAGAACGGGCCGTTCCGCTTTTAGAACGGGCCGTAGTGGTAGGTGAGCCAGAATTCCTATAAATAGGGGGCTTCACTTCTCATTTTTCACACACTTCTCATTCTCATTCTTTCTTCTCTTCTCTTCTGTTCTCTCTTCTTTCCCTCTCCTTCTTTCTGAAGACCAAGAGGAATCTAGAGGAGGAGGTTCTGCCCTAGTTCCTATTTATCCAGGTACGGGGAAAATGATTATTTATATGTAGAGTTACATGAGGGAATTGGGTAGAGGAAGAGCCCTTACGGTTATGAATAATTTTATAATTATTTCTGTTTGGAGAATTAATTGTCTTATGTGATTCTGTATATCTTTAAGACTACGAATATATGATTTATTTGTAAAAATGATGCTCTGGAAGAGAGAACGAAATTATAGAAAAATGTCTGTAAGTTAGGTTGTGAAAAATTGGATGATTTCTGTTTGAGGAATTGATGATCCCATTAGATTTTGTATATGTTGAGGATTATAAATATGCTAATAATTTGTAAGAATGATGATCTGGGAGAGAGAACGAAATTGTAGAAAAGTGCCTGTGAGCTAGGTTTTGGAACAATTGGGGATTTTACTGTTTATGTTAAAATTATATTAAATTGATAATTCTATTGTTTATTATATTAATTTATGAATGTTATTATATTATTTAATAAGAATTGATGATTTAAATGTGAATTGCTTGAGGGATGTGTAAATCCTTATTTTGTTAGACTTATCTGTTGTGTATGTGATATGGAATTGTGTATGTGATATGGAATCGTGATATGAGATGAGATGTTGTATGGACATGATTAAGAATGTGATTGCGATGTGTTTCCTCACACTAATGACTAGGGATGGCACGGCCCCTGGGTAAGTGGTGCTACAGGGAGGGCGTGACCCTAGCATGGTGTGGGATGAGTAAGACAGTTAACACACACCACTTATGTCGATTATGGCAGCCCTGGCATAGGGTTAATTGCAAGAGACTGTATGGATTGTAATGTGATTGTGGTTCCTCACACTCATGCTTCAGGGACGAGCGTACTCCTGAATGATCAGGGACGATACGAACCCTGGGTAGGTGATGCTTCAGGGACGAGCGTACTCCGGGATGATCAGGGATGATACGAACCCTAGTATGGTGTGGGTTGAGTGAGGCAATTAACCCGTATCACTTGTGTCAGATGTGGCGAGGTCTTGGCATAGTGTTAGTTGTAAGATTGGCTTGAATTATGGATGTGGAAATGATATTGTTAATCGTAAAATTGCGTGGATGGTGATGGATTGATAAATTATGATACATGCTTATATATATGAATTATGATGAGATTTCATTATGATGTGGTTGTATGTACTTTACATATAGATATTTTCTTTTCTCACCGTATAAATTGTGGATGTTTTAGGTGAGGAAGATCCGGCTACGAGTAGAATGCCAACAGTTGAATTGTGGGTATGCTCTGATATTGTGACATCAGGGCAAAGGATTTTTAGGACAGATTTTATATGGATTTGGAATTGTAAATATGATTTTGAAAACAATTTGTAAACTTTCAAGTTTTATTTTCAATTATTATGTTGGTTATTGATAAATGAATATGAAGGTTTTATGTGAACGCTTTTGCCAACGTTAAAAATTTTATTCTTTAGTTTATTTATATGATTAATATTTATATATGTGTTGGGGTAGTAAGGGTGTCACACATTCAAATTACAGTTTCAATTAAATGAAATGAAGAAATATATTAGAGATGATGTTTTAAATAAAGTGAAATTAATTTATATATATATATATTTGAGTCTAACATACATCATCATATTTATTATTATTATTATTATTATTATTATTATTGTTGTTGTTGTTTATTTTACTTATATTTGAGTTCAGAAAAAAAAAAAAACATTTTATATTTGAGTCTAACATATATCATCATATTTATTGTTAGGAAATATCCGTAGGTAAATATGTGAAGATACATTGATTGATATGTTTATATATGATGGGTGTAGAGATATGTTCATATGCATTATTGGTATCTTGTCTGACATGGTTTGAATTATATACACGTTTGTTTGGAGTATTGTAGCTCTTATATATGGTTGTGGTGTAACGTTGTATGTTATATAACGGTGATTTGGATTACAATGACCATATATTGCATGAGAGTAAATCATAATTAAATTTAAAGAGTTTATATTGGTAGGTGGCGTGATCATGATGGTGTTATTGGATGTAGTTTGTATAGTCATTCTTGATCGACACTAGAAATCTAAGATGTGCGATTATTTGGGATTACACACACGTATATAACTTGTTTATATCACTTAATATACTTTACTTTTATATTCATATTATATGTGTATGTATACGAGGCCTTTATTTTTTTAATTTTATATATTTTAATAATTTAATTTTCATTGTTAATAATAGTAATTTCATTTAATTTAGCGATTATAGTGAGTTGTTATACATGCACTTTCTTTTAAATATAATTATTATTTTTGATTATTTTATGTATATTTAGATACTAATTTAAAATCATATTAAAAAAAATACATGTTACAATATAGCTTCTTTTTTTTTTTCAACTTCAGGTTTCCAAACACACATTTTTCATTAATAAGATCAAATTAAAATACGTTTTTCGTATCTCTTTTTTATGTTATCCAAACATATGAGTAGTTACACGTCCCAACTCACATGCCCCGAATTAATGGTAACTTGGCATTATCCCTGCAAATTGATATGGACATGATCAGCATCAAACTATCACAGAGACTCGAGAGTCGAGAGCAACTGATCGAGCCCAACTAACAAAAAAATAGCTATCCACGATGGGGCCGTGAGTGTACGCACGTTCTGTGACTTGCTCATGATTTTGGTCCAGCTGATTGCGACCAAAGAGGAAAAAGGAAAGACGAATTAACGAAATGGAAAACTAAGAAAGAAAATGAAACATTAGGAATAAGGACCAATTAATAAAATAAGATACTTTTAATATATTTTAGTTGTTTGGCTGAGAAAATACCACATTTTAATGTAATATTATAATATAATTAATTAAAAGATGCAATACCTTGAGACTACGGCATCCCGGCGGCCATTCTTGACCTTTGCGCCTGAGCTTCAGAGCCAGACGACCAGACCCCACGAGAGCAGTAAAGCACAAATGGTCTTTATCGGAATGTAGATTTTTATTTTTTATTTTTTTGAACGATAGGAATGTAGATATTTTGGTTCGACGTGAAATGCCTTATTCATTAGTGTGTTTGGATGAGGAATTTTACAAATTCAATGAATTTTAAATTCTTGGTATTTGAATTACTTTGATTTCAATTTCTATCATTCTTAAAATATTTTGTTTGGATGAGTCAATTCAAATTTCTTAAATTTTAAATTGTTAGGTTGAATATAATAATTTGATTCTATCATAGTAAAATTAATTTTAAAAATATATTTATATGTTGAGATTTTTAAATTAAATTTTATAAAAATAAATATTAATCCATTTTTAAATATTTAATAATTTTAAAAATTAATATTAGATAATGTTTAATAATTTTAAAAATTAATATAAGATAATATTTAATAATTTTAAAAATATTTTTGAATATCTAATAATTAAAAGAATGAAAAGATAAGATCAAATATATAGGTGAAATAAGAAAAACAAATATGAGAAATTTCAAATTCTCCCATTTTTTTGGAGAATTTGAAATTCTACAGGAATTTCACAAATACTTAGATTTCAAATTCTTTGTAAATTTTTCATCCAAACAAAGCATTTCACCTCAAGAAATTTGAAATTCTTCAAATAAATGAATTACCCTATATAAATTCCTCATCCAAACACACCATAAAATGTATATGCCTTAATATAAGGGAAGTCAAAAGAAATTTTAAAAATAATAAATCAATAGTATTTCAATCCTTTTTTATTTATTTATAGAGGAATAGTATTTTAATATATATTGCACAAGTTATATATTTATTATATAATTAAAATTTAATAAAAAATTATATATACAAATAATATTATATTTAAATATATATATTATATTATATTTTAAATTTGTATAAATGTATATATTTTAAAACAAATAAATTATATTTTATATTTATAAAATATAATTTATATCATGACACATTTTTTTAATTGTTGTTAATTTATTTTAAAAGTATAAAATTTAATTTAAAGATATATTTGATAAATCTAAATTCAAATAAATAAGAAATTAAAAAAAATCACTTAAAATCCTTTAATTGAATAAAAACACCTAAAAATGTTATCATTTAAAAAATTTCTAGAAATATTCTAATATAAAATAACAACTCGTATTTAATATGTAAAAGTGTAAAGATGAATATAGGTTGAGGTTGGACAAGGTTTATCTTTGTCCAAACCTGATTCAATTTTTAGACAAATCATTTTTTACAATTCAAATCCCACTTGATTGAGATCCAAAAATATAAGGGGGGAGATTGAGTTGACTTGACTTTGTTAAACTAAATTAATTTTAATAATATATAATTAAATATAAAATAAAAAGGTACAAAATTTAAATTAGTTTAATTTAATAATATATTTTGAAATAAATATTTCATTATAAATATAATATTATCTTATAGAAATATTAATAACTAAATAATTTTTTATTATTAATGTACGATAATTCAATAAAATTTATACTTTTGAGAGAATATTATAGGCTAAAACTGATTATGATGGCCCATAATATAGACTGAACCAATTCTAAAATTATAAAGGGTCCACTTTTAATTATCAAGTTTGTCTAAATTAACTTTATATTAAATTGAGTTAAACTAGATCTATATTATTTTTAAAGTATACATAAAAATTAAGGTGTGAAAATATTAAAATTAGTTTACTTTAATTTAAAAAAATTAACATGTATAAACCGAATGGTTAGTATAATTGAAGTCATATATTTCTATCCTCCTTTTTAAAAAAAATTAATAATATGATAAAATTTATTGTAGGAATTTTTAATTTTCAATTAAAATTGATTCTTATATTTTTAAAATGATAGATTTATTTAACCTAATTTTTTTTATAATTGATGAAATTCATCTGCCTTACTAATAAATTCAGTTTCATAAAAAAATATATGAAATTTAGTCATTATAAAAAATAAATGATCGATAGTATCACTTTTTTTTATTTATAAAAATTATAATAATGATATTAAAATTTAAATATTAGACCATACACATATTATTTCAACCTTTATTAGGTATGATCTTTTTTAACACATAGAAACTAAAATTTTACTTCTTTAAAGGGACTTTCTTTATCATTAATTAGAAGATGTATGTACTATTACATTCTTTCAATAAAATTTGATTAAGAAATGTGATCAAAAATTGACAAAACTGTTAAAATTGACTAGCATGATGAATTAGTTCATTAGTTCACTAGGTTAATTTAAGTTGAACTCTTTTATTTTTAAGCTAAAAAAAATAGGCTAGTCTGACCAATAAAAATTAGGTAGGAAAGGTATTGAATTTATTTAGTTTGATATTTTTTTCTTTTAAATTACATGTAAAATTATTAAAAATAAATAATCATTTTTTAAGTTACACATACTAATTTAATTATATTCAAGTTAATAATGCATATAACTTAAATAATAAAACTTTTACATTTATAATCACGCACACTTAAGGTTTTACTTTTCTCTCTTGGGAAGATATATTTCATATATTAAATAACCTCAAAATTTCTCTTAAGTTGTATTTAGATGAAAAAATTAAAAGTTTAGATCCTTGAAATTTTAATTGCTTTAATTAGATAATTTAATTTAAATTTCTTGATTTTCAAATACTTTATATATAAAGTTATTTTTAGTATATGTTTATTTTTATATTTTTTAAATTTTAATACTAATATTGTTTAAAAATAAACAATTAAGTTATAATAATTAAAAATTTTAACAATAGATAATATTTATTAATTTAAAAATCATTTTAAAATTTAATAATTAAAAAAATAAATATTAATAAATTATACATCAATTTTGATAGATAAAAAGATATAAGAGAAAAAATAAAATAAATGAGAGATGAATAAAAAGAGAAAAAATAATATAAATAAGAAAAAGAAGAGAGAGAAAAGAGAACATGGACAGAGAAGAGAGAGAAACAAGAAAGGAAATAATAAATAAAAAAAATGAGATAAAAGAAGAGAAATATTAGAAAGAGAGAAAGGGAGAAAAGATTTAGAAGAGATAAAAAATAAACAAATATGAGAAATAAAAGAAAAAAAGAAGTTATGAGAATTTGAAAGATTTTGATGAAAATTTTAGATGAGTAAATTACATGTCTACTAAAAGGTTACAAAATTCATTATTTAAAATAATTTCTTAAAATTTCTATATTTTTAAATATTAATTTTTTAAAATAAAAAATCCTAATTAAATATTATTAGATTTGATGACTTCTACAAAAATTATAACTATTTTAATTAAATATTATATGACTTCTACAAACATTATAACTATTTTAATTAAATATTATATGACTTTTATATTAAAAAAGCTTCAAATATAATTTTTTTAAAAAAATCTATTAAAATTCTAATTCCTCAGCAGAGAAATGTTGCTATTTAATAGTGGTCCATTTGAAATGACAGAAATAAAGGAGAGGAAATTAAAGAAAACATTTGAAATTTAAATGAAAGGTCAGATTTTTTTTTTAAAATCTTATCACTATAAAATTAAATTTTTAATTTTTTTCTCCATTTTCTTTTCAAGTAAACAAAAGAAACACTTCATTATCCATGTTTTTTTTTCCTACTTTCTTTTCCACCAAACATAAGTATTAAAAAGTCCTAAAAAAAATTACGTAACTGTTTTCACACACACTTTATATATCAAATTTGCCAACTGACAACGTAATATTCATTTCCTCTCTATGCACCTGTTTTTTTTTTTTTATAAATATTTTTATTTTAATTTTCACAAGCAACAAATACATAAATTTGTTGAAACCTTAATTATAATGTTCGTTAGTTGTTAGGTAATAGTAAAAAATATATATAATTTGATTTTTTCTAGTACTTTTCATGAATTTTTTTATGCTTGTGAGATAATATGCTAAATTGCAAACTAATAGCAGGTCAGCGTGGACCAATAATTATCTTGACTCATTTATTTTAAGGGTCAAACTGGGCTGATCCGTTTGCATGCGATCCTATGTGAACTGGGCTAGTTGGTAATGGTATATTCAATCCTAATTATCATTATTATTTTTCTTTTGCTCACTCTCTTTTTTGGTTTTCATAGGATGAAAATACTTCATAACGTGTCCCTTTTTCTTTTTCTTTTAGTTTTAGACTTATATTTGTTTTAACTGTAGACTCTTCCTTGACTATGTTACTGTTACCCATGTTTTTTTGTCTTATCTTTTTATTTCCAAAAACTAAGACCCTGGACTGAAAAGAGGATGTCGAAGGAAGACCTGAAAGATTTATTGCAAGCTTCTTTGTTCAAAATAAAAGTTTTAACACTATTCACAATTACAACACTGCCAGGAGCATAACTAATAAAAAAACATATGTAAATTTTCCCAATAATTGGGCAATGTATAAATAAACTAAAGACTTATAATTTCATCATCAAGGTAAAAATACCAATGTTAGACAACTAGCCAAAACAACTATGAAATTCACTTAAGTGATCAATAATAGAAATACCCTCTTTATAGCGCAAATTCACGGCTTTTCTCAGACAATAATTTATTGCTACGGATTTGAGACATGCACAATATTAAGTTTATCTCACAAAATTCTAGCATGTGCAACAGTGACTATGAATAAAAAATTATCATTTACTGACTTTTGAATAAAGTCACAAACCATCTCATGCTCAAAAGCTCATTTTTCATTAATTTTACTACAAACAGATGTAATATATAGCAAAAATAAAAAATCCTTCATATCTACATTTGTACTTAAAGTAATTAATGTCACCGATAATTACTTCTTACTGATAATATGGTTAAATAAAAATAATTAATGTCATTCATATAAATAATTAATTTTGATTTGTACTTTCATAATTCAAATCGTACAACCTCGTTAAAGATAAATAAGTAATAAACTTTGTGTCACCTATTTAAGGTGATCACACAAAAAAAAAAAATCAAAATTAAGTAATGCAATTCTCATTTCAAAAGCTCTAAACACTTCTCACTATTTTTGTTTTCTCAACCAAATCATTGATCATTTACCTTATTTGACTTTTTCCCCCTCTCACCTCATCGTAAAAGACCAAAGGTGTTACAGAGATTTTGAAATAAGAATAAGATTACTCTAATTGTAAGTAACAACAACAAAATTAAATATGCCCTCATTTTTCTGTAGGGCTATATTTTAAATCTACAATTACCCGTTTTCATCACATTTACAATCCCTTTCATTTGGCTACGGTTAGCTACCAATGCGATCAATTTCGTGGTACAAAAAAGTCAAGGGTCGAGACACTGCGACTGCTAGTAGCTTATTCAACTTAAAGATCAGCTTCACCTGCTCTCAGAGAGAATATATCAATAGGGGTATTAACGCAATCATAAACTCCTTGATGTCTTGACCTACCCTCTAGAGAATCTTGTGAATCTGAATGATCGAGATACAGAACGATCACTGTAATATCATCATGAAAATGACGCCTTAGACCCTTCTCAATTTTCCTTAAATCCTCATATCTCGTTTCTCTTTTCTTTGCAACCTCTTCTATTGCAGCTCTCACCAATCGTTTTGCTATTCCCTACAATGGAATGTTACATCTTTTTTAACATCCTTTCATTCAATGGAATCTCTAATATTATAGTTAGCAATACGTGCTCAATTAATGGGCCATGGACCTATTTCCATTGCGATGCCACTAAATGAAACTTAAAAACGTCTCAAGAATTAATAGCAAATATTATTTTTTTATTGCACAAAATATCTAACTTTAAGTAAAAATAACATAAAAACATCTAAGATGTTCTGCTTAAGTTTTTTTTTTTTTTTAAATTGCCATTCTTAAATAAGAAAAATGATAAACTTTAAAATTATTAGCATTGATATAACTTACCCTTGTATGATATAAATTAAATTGTTAAGATAGATATGGCAAGTGTATAATAACACTACGATGAGCATGTGTATTGACAGTATGTCAATAATTTATACCGAATGAAAATATCAAAGTTTTAAAAAATGGTTCCAGGTCACGATTAATTTCAACCATAACATGAAGTTTTTTTTTGGGTGTTTCACAATTGCAGCTGCATTAACCACATTTATTCAAATATATATTTTTTTAAGAGTTAATCACCTATACACTATTAGTGAAAAAAATTTATATTGACAACCAATTATATCTTTTAATTGTGCCATATTATTATAAACATATTTACTTTTAATAATGATATGACACAATTAAAAGATATAATTGATTACCAATATAAATTTTTTTTACATAAACAATGTATAAGTGATTAACTCTTTTTTTTAATAACACCAAGATTATTGCGATGAAACCAACATTGCAATCATAAAGAAACTTTAGAAAATAAATTTTAATATGATGCATCATGAGGATAATATAGATCGATAATACTTATACTAACAGAGTAACAGTTTCATGTGCACGGAAATGGTATTCTAATTAAAGTTAATCTAACACTAACCCATTAACATGCATGCATGTGTAGTTCAGGAGGTTTGTTGCGTGTGGACACTTACTATTCTGGGGCTTCTGTAGATGATTTCGACAGCCGCTTCATCAGTTAAATGCTCCCAAAGTCCGTCTGATGCAAAGATCAAAAACAGATCATCTACCTTTAATTTCCGTGTCAATATCGATGGTTCAGCTGTCATCACAGGTCTCTTCAAGTATAGTGGACATACAAATTGTTGGAACAGAGGATTAGCGTCAAAGTCTGGTTTCTTTAGGTATACATCTCCAATTGATCTTGAAACCTATAAGGCCAAAACACAGTTGAAAAATTACGAAGTTCACAAGGACGATATGACGTTGTAATCTTACAAAGCATCCCTCATTAAAATATTGGGAAAAATTACGGTTTCGAAATTTTAGCCCCCTGAAGAAGTCAAGTTGGCAAAACATGCCAAAGTTGACGATATCATTCTTGATAAAAGAATGCATATAAAATTTACATAACAAGTTTGAGCACCAAGTATTCACACACGATAATTCTTTCTAGATTACATTCCCCCACTCACGCGTAGGGAAGAAATGCTGTAAGATTTTTTTTTTCCTTTCAAAGGTTAGTAGTTAGGATGAATATACAGCATGATTATGAAGGTCCATTGAGAAACCAATAACATGCTCCACTCAGACTTGTCCTAAAATGCAGACAAGTTTAATACCAAGATAAAATAATGAAAAACAATCCATTATAGAATCACATCATTAATCCACGCCACTCGTCATGCCACAAACAACAGGAGATGAAAGCATGTGACGTACGTCACTCGAAACATTGAAGTGGAACGAAATTAAATATTGAGCCTAAATATTCATTTTCAGAAGATTTGCTTCCTAAGGTGGAATCTTTTAAGAGCACAGCTAAAACAACCTCAGTACTCTGTTTATTACGATTAAAAATATATATTATTACTATTATTTATATTTTTCCCTTCTCTGTTTTCTTTTCCCTCGTTCAAATATAAGATGGTGAAAATTTATATTTGGATAATAATATATGAACACCTATATATATCACAAACATTTATTAACTACTTTTTATCTTTATATTTCCCTCTTTTTATCACATTATATTAGCTTGTCAACTATTGTATTTATACTTCTTCATTTTCTCTTTCTTTGTCTTTCAAATTTTCAATCTCAAATAACACGGGATTATGGATCTTTATCCTTTGGCTAAATTGGCTTTATGTTTTTTTCTCAATGAAAATAAAGTGTTTTTGATTTTAATTTCTCTTGGACCACCGGGAGTTGTATACATGGTAAAATTCAATTGCCTGATGAGCGTACCGAATAGCATGACATGATTTCTGATTTCTGGTAGCTCAAATACACTCAAAAATGAAACTCGAAACTAAAAATAAATAAATACATAAAGAACAAATATATGCAAACCTTTTTAAGAAGCAAAATAATATAAAGCCTGAAGCAGAGCATTAGTTGCACCTATAGTTAATAGTGTCAAAGAAGCTGAAGTGACAGTCATCATCAAACACAAACATAAGCAGAGAAATATTGAAAGTAAAATTATCAACAGACTATAAGCATTTGACAAGAACAGCAAAAGAAGAGGACATTGAGAATAGATTAAGGTGAATGAATATTGATACCTGAATAATGCCCTTGATTCGCCAAACTCCACGACAACAAACCACAATGTGTGCATCATCAGGGTGAAGAGCCTGAACCTCCTTTCTAACCTCCTCCACTCCAACATTATGATCAGTGGACAAACGCTCTGCCACAACAGGACCACAATTCCCCTCTCTCACCAACGCTTTCCGTCCCAAAACCGCTCTCGAATCCCCCAGATTCGCCACATAAAGAACGCCGTTCGAAATCGCTCCCAGAAGACAACACGAACCCACCGAAGCTATCTGCGGCCGCGCAATCCACGATTCCCTCACTACACGCAAAAACTCCTCCTCGGTCGCCTCGAACGCCTTCTTTATCACCTCCTCGGACAACCCACCTTCCTCTGCTCCAAACCCTGCGACACAATCACAATGGATCATTAATTTCCATATTTTGTTCGTAAGTGCTAAGAATCTCGGTCACAATTTTGTAAAATCAGAGGTATATGAGGACATGTAGAATCTCCACTTATATTACACAATTTTATAAGATGTGTAGGGGTCTTACTGCGAAGGAAGGTGAAGAGGTGGTTGGTGATGAAACGGGAAGCTTCGGGTCCACCGTGTCCGTCGTATACGCCAACGAAGGTTTGGGAGGGAGAGGTGAATACCTGTGCTTGGTCTTCTAAGGAGGAATTAGCTTGAACCACTGCGATTGAATAGTTTCCCGAAGCGTGAGGTTTGAGGTCCGTGTGCCAGAGGAGGCTATCATCGTTGCTTCCACCACCGAAGCACATCTCCAGTGGCCTGCGCCACAGCTCCAACATCCTTAATGCTCTGTGCGTGTGGTCCACGGTTCTTGAAAAAAGTGGAACTCAGTTTCGATGGGTTGCTGAAAAAACTATGATGTCTTGACCCGTGCACAAGATGTAAGAGACCAACAACGTGTGGATTCCGCGTTCAAACGTAGAAATATGTGTAGTCAGTGAGAATCTCCCTACGGATTCCCGTCGCAGAGTGTGAGACGGGGTGCTGAGAATACACATACAATTATAGAAAAATAAAAAGCATTTGACTGAAAATTTCTCACCATCAAAAGTCTCTTTATTTTAAAAGTGAACAGAAATAATTTTACTAAAACATATATTTTTTAACGAAAAATTTAAAGATCAATTTTCTATCGTAAAACAAAGAATTGTCTAGAAAAAGGTTATTGAAGTGGGACCGAAGCTCGGTGGGTGGGTCCCGTGTTAGAATTCACTGAAAGTAATAGGTGATAAGTGATAAGTAAAGAAAGCGATGCAGTATTGCATCTTCGCTTGATAAGTAATAGGTGGAGTTTCGTTTTGGTTCTTTAATGTAGTGTTTGGGATTTACTATTCACGAGCAAAGAAACGCGAAGAAACTTATTATTCGTTTCCGGTGATTTGCGACGACGGAAAGGCGAAGAAAAGGAGGAAGAAACGTGATTCGTGTCCTCGCTTTTGTGCGAAGAAAGGAAAAAAAAGCCACGTAAGATTTATAAAAACCCAGAAATACTTTTTCGCATGCATGCATAGTGTGCCATGCAGTGAAAAAAGCATATACGAAGGAAACATAATCGATTACGCAAGAATACATAATCGATTATGACCTTATATAATCGATTATGTTGAAGCATAATCGATTATGTAGCCTTACATAATCGATAGCATAATCGATTATGCTGTATATATATATACAGCATAATCGATTATGCTGTATATATATATACAACATAATCTTTTATATATATATATAATAATTATAAATTTTTTAACTTAAGGGCAAAATAGTAATCTTATATAATTATTAATTAAAAAATTTATTTTTATCTATCACATCAATCAATTCACTCACAAACTTTCACATACTTTCTCTACACTTTCCACTCACTTTCCCTTAATCCAAACAACCTCACTTTCTACTCACTTTCCCTTCAAATCTCTCCTTTTCCACTCCCTCTTTTCCATCCTCAAATCCAAACAAAGCCTAAAATTCATTTGAATTAAATAAAAAAATTAAGTATAACGAATGAAGGATCTAATTTTTTTTTAAAGATTTTGAAATAATACTTATTTATATATTTATGATATAAAAAATTATATATATAATTTTTAAAAATATAAATATATATTATAATAATTTTTTATATTTACGTTATGATTAGAGGTGATAATAAATTAGATCAGACTAGATTATAGTATAATTTAGTAGGTTTGAATCTAATTTTTATTAAAAATAAATGTTCTAAATATAATTTATTTATTTATCATAAATATTTTTTAAATATTTAGTTAGAACCACAACCCTAAAGATCTATTTTATAATAATATAATATTAATAAAAACATAAAATAAATATGTTAAATTTTATAAAAAAATAAGTTTAATTTATTTAATATAAACATATTTTTAATATCTAATATAAATTTTTATATGATAATTTACTTTAAAAAATAGTTTGTAATAAAAAATTTAAATAGAAAGTAAATTTTACAATCTTTCTTATTTTTTTAATCAATGTATACAATAAATAAAAAGTACAAAAAGGTAAATATACATGTTGTAATTTTTATTTTATCAAAAATTGGTTTTTTAATATGTTACATTATATATGTGAGTATTAATATATATATATATATATATATATATATATATTATAATTAAACTTTTTTAAAAATTGGTTCATTATTAAGAATTGTTTTTATCACATATGAAAATTAATTTCTTTTGCAAGTTTGACAAACATCAAATAAATGAACATCTCATCCGAACTTAAATTTTATACATACAATAATTTAAACATGTATTTATTTTATTAGAATATAATTTTTTTTTAAATATAATATTTTTTGGATAAAAAATATATATATGTAAAATAGTAGTGTAGACAAATATCCTCATTGTGTTCCACAAAAATCCATCATTGAATGTAATTTGAATTATTTTGAATTGAATGGACTATGAAACTTGAATCAAAACAAATTATTTTTTTATGGTTTGATTTAGTTGTTTTTGTAATTTTGAAAAATATTATTTAAAAATTAATTAAAATTTTATAATATTTTAAAATAAAATTAAAAATATATAAATGATAAAATATTTCAATCATTTAATTTTTTTCATCAATTCTTATCTTATTATTTTAATAAAAATATTTGAAATACAATTTTAATTATTATATTAAACATTATTTCTCATATATATATAGTTTGTCCCTTAAAAGAACATATTTTTGACTATTATAAATAAATAATAATTTTTTATTTTTGAAATTCAGTTTAGTGACACACCATAAATAAAAAAACCTTTTAAATATTATTTAGAAAGAAAAACACTTATTAGTAATTTACAATTTTATAAAATACTTTTTATGTTATGTGTCAATTATATTTTATATATATATATATAAATAAGTGTGATTTGATTTGGTTTGAAGCATGAAAAGGTAACCACATTGAATAATTTTAGAAATTTTAAAATTATATTAAATCATTAATTTATGATGTTCTATTAATTTTTAGTATTTTAGATCGGTCTACAATTTTCTTGTTTGGATTGGTACAATTTTCATCACCTTTAATAATAAAATAAATAGTATATTGTTATGTTTGGAAGTGAGAAAATAAAATAATAATAATATTTTTTTATTTAGTTGGTGAGTATATAAGAAAAGAAAGAGAAGAATATTAATTTTTGGAAATAAAATTTATAATTTATTTTTTCGTTTACTTTTTAAATTTAAGTTTTATTTTATTTTCTTTCAATATATTGAACAGACAAATGTCAAAAAAGAGACATAGCTCCATTTGAATTTATATATATTATTTCCAGTTTTTTTTATATATTAATTATGACACAAATATCTACCTAAGAAAAAGTGTTATTAAATTTATCTAGGTTTTTTTAATTTTTCCTATAACATTACTTCTGTTCACATAATATTTTTTATATATATTTTGAAAAATTATGATAAAAGTTTAATATTAACTAAAAATCTAATATTATAATTACAATTTTGTCTACAAAATAAAGTAATGATGTAGACGTAACACTTTATGCTATTTTACACTAATTAATAAATTTAATAATTAATTTTATCAATTATTTTTTATTCAATAAATTAGCTTAATATCTTTTAAATAAAAACTATATTTTAACTATCAATTAACTTATTAAATAATTTTACCAAAGATATTTTTATTTTCTTTCCTCGATTTAAGTAACCAAAAACTATATTTGTTTCTGTTCTTTTATACCTTTTTATTTGTTTGTTTTTTCTCTACTTTTTCCCCACATGCAAGCATAGCATGAAAGGTCGTCGATAATTGTATTGTGTGATTTAAAAAACTTGAAAAGGATCTTAGTACAGAATTGTTCGTTTACTTTATCTTGGCTTTGAATCGTTCCCGTTTGGGGTCTTCGGCCCTCCAATGATCCAATCAATGTACCCCCGTAAAGGATCCCTAATAGCCGTTCATACTTGGGCTTGATTAAGGCATGGGCTTGGCAGATGATAAATACACTTCCTCTCTCATATAAACACATTTCTTTTTTTAAAAAAATATATAAAATATCTAAATTACCCTTTAAAAAAAATGAAATTTCTAAATTTACACTTCCCTTTCCCGCACCCCCCTTCCCCGCACCTCCTTATCCTGTATCTGCATGTAAACTTTAGTCTGGAACGACACCAGAACGGGCCGTTCTGCAAGAAGAAAGACCCGTTCTGAAAGCAGTACGACCCGTTCTGAAAGCAGTACAAGCCGTTCTGCTTGTAGTACGGGCCGTACTGAAAGCAGTACAGGCCGTTCTAAGGCCGTTCTGTTGCAGTGCAGGCCACCGCATCACTTTTAAAATGGCTACCTTATGACTGATTTTAAAATCCCGATTTTAAAAGTCATTTTTGTACTAGTGTTTCTTCCCATAGAACAAGTAAGAGTCTTTCTCTTACAAGACCACCTGCTGACATTGCGCACTCCTCTTCTTTCTCTTTGTGGCACTCTTCTTCTTCTTCTTTTTTCCCGCACCTCGCACACCCCTCTTATTTCTCTTTCTGACACTCTTCTTCTTCTTCTTCTTCTTACTGTTACGGAAAGTTCTTTCCGGAATTATATAAAAATGTTCCGGAAAATACTTTCCATAATATTAAATTCTTATTCCGGAAAGTATTTTTCGGAAATGTTTTGTTACATAATTCCGGAAAGTACTTTCCATAATATTAAAGTTACTATTACGGAAAGTTCTTTCCGGAATTATATGAACAATAATTTTACTATTCTGGAAAGTACTTTCCGGAATGCTAATGACTGTAAAAGTACTTTCCGGAATGCTAATGATTGTAAAAGAGCCTTTTTTATGCTGGTTATGGTGGGGCTAGTCCTTTTTTTCTATTCAGAATGACTGTAAAAGTATATTACTTAATGACATTGAGC